TTGGGTACTTCAACCATTAGAGTTTAGCCAAACTCATAAAGCAGAATCTCGTTCATAATATGCCAAAAATTATAGTTGAATCTCATGACTGCGATGCATGTAAATTGGAAAAAAAAACAAAGCTACCATTTTCAAACGGTGAAACTTGGAGGGCATCCCAGAAGTTGCAGCTCATACACATAGATGTGTGCGAACCCATGTCAGTTTCATCAATGAATGGTAACCGATACTTTCTTCTATTCATTGATGATTATTTCAAAATGTATTGGGTCTATTTTCTCAAAGTTAGAAGTGAAGTTTTTGCTATATTTCAACAAATCAAAAATTACATTGAAAACCAAAGTAATTTAAGGATTAAAACGATACGGTCTGACAATGGCACTGAGTACAACTCAAGTCAATTTGAAAATTTTCGCAAAGATGAAGGGATTAAACACCAATTAACAATAACTTATACACCTGAACAAAATGGTGTAAATGAGCGAAAAAACCAAACAGTGATGGAGATGGCTAGGTGCCTAATTTTTGATAAAAATTTACTCAAATATTTTTGGGCCAAAGCTGTAAACACTTCGGTGTATCTCTTAAATAGGCTACCAACCAAAGCTCTCAAGAACAAGACTCCATATGAAGCCATCGGTGCATCATCTTAAAGTATTTGGTAGCATTTGTTTTTATCAATTTTCACAACAGAAGAGGGAGAAGCTGGATAAAAGGGCTGAAAAAGAAATTTTTATTGGTTATAGTCTTGTCACAAAAGGATACAAAATTTATTGTTCGAAAATTAACAAAATTATTATGAGCAAGGATGTTAAATTTAATGAAATGGCAGCTTGGAATTGGGAGAAACTTGAAGATGTCCAATCTGAAATTCCAAGTGATATACCAAACGATTCACAAGCTGTTATAGATGATGAAACTTTTGATACATACTTATCAGAGGTGCAATTTTGTTGTCTCGAAGCCTAGTAATTTTCATGAGGCAAAAGCTTCACCAACATGTAGAAAAATAATACAAGAGGAGATTGATATGATCAATAAAAATGAGACATGGCAGCTTGTTAAAAGACCAGAATAACAGAAAGTGATTGGGGTTAAATGAGTTTTTAAAACCAAACTCAATCCTGATGGCTCAATATGCAAACACAAGGCAAGGCTTGTGATCAAGGGATATTCGCAACAATATGGTGTCGATTACCAAGAAACATTTGCTCTAGTTGCAAGGTACGACACTATCAGATTAATTATTATCTTTGCTGCATTCAAAAATTAGCAGATTCATCAACTGGATATTAAATCTACATTTTTAAATTGCTTTCTTGATGAAAATATCTATGTTGAGCAGTCTGATGGTTTTATAATTTCTTAAAAAGAAGATCATGTATATTTATTGAAAAAGGCTCTTTATGGCCTTAAACAAGCTCCAAGAGCTTGGTACAGCAGAGTAGATAGCCAATTAATATAGCTCGGGTTTAAAAGAAGTGATAGTGAAACAACATTATACATCAAAGGAGTAAATGAAAAAATTTTAGTTGTCTCTCTATATGTAGATGACATGCTTGTGACAGGGGAGGATCCTTAACTCATCCAATTTTTCAAAGCTCAAATGAGGGAAGCTTTCGAAATGATGGATCTTGGACTGATGAAGTACTTTTTGGGCATGGAAGTGGAGCAATCAAGAAATGGCATTTTCATATGTCAAAAAAATTATGTAGCAGAGATCTTAAAGAAATTTCACATGGTAGATTGTAAACCTATGAGTGTTCCAATATCTACCTGTGAGAAATTGAGTAAAGATGTTGATGGAAAGAAGATTGATGAAGGCTTGTATAGAAGTCTTATTGGAAGTCTTTTATATTTTACAGTAACCAGGCTCGATATTATATTTGTTGTGACTATTTTATCAAGATATATGCATTCTCAATCTGAAAAACATTATTCAGCAGCAAAACGTATACTCAGGTATTTAAAAAGTACCATAGACCTTGGTATTATGTATAGAAGTGCTGAAAATGAAGAAGTGAAGCTGCTGGGATATTCTGACAACGATTGGGAAGGCTGCTTGGATGATTTTAAAAGCACTTTAGGGAATCTTTTCTCTTTGGGTTCAAGTATCTTTACATAAAGCTCAAAAAAGCAAGAAATAACAACTTAATCAACAGCCGAAGCTAAATATATTACTGTTGCCTCAACTGTGAATCAAGCCATCTGGTTAATGAGACTCTTAATGGATCTTTGTTGTTAATAAAAAGGTCCAACATAAATCAAATGTGATAATCTTTCTGCAGTGTCAATTTCAAAGAACCCGGTATTTAATGGTAGGATAAAACATATCAAGATCAAGTTCCACCTTATTTGAGAAGTTCAACAATCTAATGAAATGGTTCTGGTTCATTATTCTTTTAAAGATCAACTTGCTGATATGCTTACAAAAGCTTTACCTAAGGAGAGGTTTGAAATTCTCAGAGAAAGGATTGGTGTTTGTCACAAAAATGCCAATGAGCAGTATTGAACATCTGGCATTTTAACTCCAGCAGTGAAGACTTTTTTAAAATTCAGCAAATAAAATCATTTTAAATATTAGTTGAAAGAGATAAATTATTTCAAACTAGTTTTAGATTTATTCAAATAAAGATCATTATATAATTATCTTCCAAAATTTTAGTTATTATCTTTAAATTTTTGAATTATAACAGCTTAAGAATTTGGTACTAAAAAGTAAGCGATTAGTTTATTATAAGTATTCTGAAATGAAGAAAATATAACAATCTTTCTTCCTAAAAGTTTCTTCTTGGGTTACTGCCAACCTTTCTTATTTTTTAAAACCAACATTCACTCACTTGGCTTTTATCATCTGATAATCTCATACACTCTTGTCTTTTACCTTTATATCTTTCACCTTCAAGTTGAGTGCCAGACAGATCCTCTTAAATCAAAATATTCTCAAGTATTATTTTAAGACACCGCAAAGAGTTCTATATAACAAATACTGCACCAATACTATAAGCAAGAGTATAACACACGAAGGAAAAGATAGTGTGTTATCAATTACGTTAAGCTCTAAGATGCAATTTAAATGTTTAGATGCATCAGGGAATTAAAACTTAGAACAATAAAAGAACTGAGAGTAGGAAAAAAATTGACGGTTTATAGAATATGTAGGGATTCAGTATTATTCCAAGGAGAAATCCGAAAGATATACCTACCAATCTATTCCTGATGTACGTTGTGTTTTAAAAAAATATATAACCTTTAATGACTATGTAAGTGTGAATGTACGTAGTTGTAAAAAGAAATTATAGAATAAAATGAGCTTTTACCTTATGAAGAGTTGGTTTTTGCACTATTTCAAAGAAGGATGGTTGAGTACCAAAAAGTTAAGTACTTTTCCAATGAGTATGTTACTTCATCGGGATTTTTTTCCTTTATTTCATTTCTTTTCTTTTTTTTTTTTGCATAAGAATCAAAATTGCAAGAAAAGTAAATTAAAAAAAATTGGTACTCAACAACAATTTTATCAAGTCAAAAAAGCGTCAATTGACGTTATGTCTTATTTGGATCAATGTATGAGATAATTCTTTTTCATTATTTTTTTATAGATGAATAAAAATAAATGGTGCAATAATTTAAAGTGCAACAGTAAACGATAGTAGGTTTAGACGGAGGTAAATCTCTGATACCAATTGATGCGGAACCCAAGATCAACCAGCGTGATCAGGAACTCACATAATTTCATTAAAGGTATTAAAGAAATTGATCATATAAAAACATTCCCTACTTAACCCATTATCAAGAATGATAGGAAATAAGATCACTAGAAATAAAAAAAATAGAATGAAAAAATGTCACAAGGTTATATCTTGATAAGTAAATCCACTCCTTACTTAACAAGAGAGATAAAGAAAACCTCTCTTAAATAAAACTCACAATATTATTGATTTTAATCTTGAATTCTTATAATAAAGACTTGATGGCCTATTTATAGGATAAGTAATGTGAATAAAAATGTAATAAACATCTCCTAATTTAAAATTATAATTATATAGAAAATTAATTAAAATTAAAGTCTAAATCCCTAACTAAGTACAATTACATAAGAAATTAATTAAAATTAATGTTTAAATTCCTAACTATGATAGATATAATCTTCCCTCTTTTCTTGGCCAATTGCTTCCTTTTCTTGTCTTTTCATAATGTACTTGAAGTAAGTTGATGAGACCATTATGCCCTTAGACTAATTGGTCGTGCTTGTTTTTCTGTTCTTTTGGATGTGACATTCTCTTTATGATTTATATCCATACTCACATCAATTATGGACTTATGAGTACACATATAAATATTTTACAAAATTTAAGATTAATTTTAGAAATTAATATAAACTACTAAGGTGTCATTAGGAATTAATTGTTGGGTTTTTCTAAGTAAAGAAAATTTAAATTTTTATTAACTTTACTTAACTTAGAAATTAACAAATTAAAGTACGTTTAAATAAGTTTACATCTAAATTATATTTTCTAAAAATAATCTATCGCTATATATAGCATAAGTATGAATCAAATTTTCTAAAACATTAACCTTCACTAATAACATGATATTTAAAAAATAAACATACATTAAATCTAATTAAAAAATATATCATATTTGACTTCAAACTAATAAATAAAATAAATTATAATTTTTATATTAATTTTTAACACTTTTCATTAATGTAAAAATTACAATCACCAAATTTGTCTTGTTGGAATACATATCTCCAATATGTCTTATTTAATTTTCATATTTTGAAGTTTTTTTTTTTTTAATTTTTAATGCACTTCTCACTAATATCCAATTATTGATGCACTTTCTATCAATTTTTAATTATTGATGCGTATCTTATCAAAATCTAATTGTTGACTCACTTCTTATCAACCTTTAACTATTAATGCGTTTCTCATCAAAATTTGTCATTAATTCCCTTAGAGCACTGCTCTCTAATTTTTTTATGTAACGACCAAACCTGAACATCGACATATGGCTATTTATGACATTCCTATCGAAAAATATATGTGATGAACATAAGCAATAGTTTGAAAAGTATGCTTATACAATCATAGCATATTCCAAATCCTACCCACTGAAATATGACCTTTCACTAGTTCGCCTACTGCCTCCCTCTATTTTCCTTTTTCTGTTTCAGCTGTTTTGTATTTTACATTCCTGTGTACTGTATGAAACTCTATCACCCCTCACTTCCATAAAACTTTAATTTCCTCTCTCTCTATGCTTCCGGGATTATGTGGACTGATTCGAGGCCATCTTCCTGTTTTACATGATCTGCAAAAATAATATTAAATAATAGGATGAACATAAAATGCTTAGTAAGCCCAAATTAGCACCTCAAGCAATTAGAATTTGCATTACAGTGCGGTGACTCATTCATCCTGGTGGTTGTTTTCCTCAACTCCAGTCATATACTTTCAATTTTCCTCTTATTCTAATCCAGCAATTTCTTCAAAATACTTTCAAGACAATTTCATTTTCAAATGGATTATTTACATTCAAATAAAGGATCCCCATTTAATTTACTTACCTCTTTACCTATTTTGTAAAACAATTCTCATTTACTTGCAATATTCTGTATGCAACAATTTTTCTAGTAAGTTGAAGCATTATAACAGAACATACATATCACTAATATTATTCGACACAGCCATTGAACTTACCTAATTATATTTCCACTGTTCATTCTCATCATTTCACATTTTTTTCTCTAATTGCCTTTAATTTCTTTCCCTCCGTATTTCACACTCGACTCTACCAGCCCAACTCTCTTTCTGCGTTGGTCACACCAGAATGTAACACACGCACACCGACCACAAAGGCCATGCACACACACCGTCCACAAAACCCACGCATGCACACACACCCACACAGCTTGCACTTTACGCCTTGAACCCGGCCCTTCAGAGCTTTCTCTTTCTCGACCACATCTCTGCCTTGTTTATCACATGCGTTCGAGAGATTCACTCCCATTTGGACTCTCTGATATTTGGTCCACTCTGCTGACTAAGCATGGGTGAACTGTTCCACATCACATGGCCAACACATGCTACACACACACCACAACAAGAAAATCATCAACACAAAAAAAATATGTTTTGGTTCCAGCTCAGTCCCATCCTGCATTTAGCCTCTGGTTTGTATCATTTAATCTTCCAAATTTGGTTTCATTTCTACCCAACATTTTCTAGATTCAACACTCAAAGGCTTACATTAAAACAGTTCTACTCTAGTATCATTCCCAATAACAAATCCTCAAATTAATGATGTGAGTCGTCTGAGAGTTTCCTTCGAGTTACCTTTATTTTGCTCACTGTTCTCCATCACCCTGAACACCTTCCTTTATTCTTCTTCCCCTCTATGTGTTTGGTTAGTCGGGTTTCTATCTCCAATTTACTCCCAAAATTCATTTGATGGAATGTGTCTACCCGGAATCCCTTCTCACACTCTGAATACTCGAATCACCAACACATCTCAGTCCTCTTCTTCAAACACTGACACGCTCACATTTACATCTATTTCGAAGATAAGGAAATACACATGTATGTACGCCCATTTGTTCGTTCATATGATGCTGTGTACCTTATTCTGGTTTCCAGATTTCCATTCTAAATCTTCCTCATGTGACTTAAATGAATTAACATGCACTTTAAACTCAAATTTGAATCAAAAAAGGCTGAAATGATCTTACCTCCTTGGTTCCGAATGAAGATAGATCGTGTTGATTCCCTTTATACTCCTTAACTCCCCCACAGCCGACGGTGTTCTCTCCAGATTGTTCCCCTCTCCTTTGAAATTCTTTTCAGTTGCGCTCCTCCCCTTCTTCGTTAATCTATCCCTCTTATAACGGCTTTGGAAGTCTCAAGGCTCTTCTACAAAATGCTGATCAGAATCGTCCATTGCCTGTAATCAGTATTTACACTTCAAATCTTCCCTTTGATCTGATGTGGCGACATCTGAGCCGTTTTTAATGAGGGAAAGGTGCCCTGACGTGACGTGGTTTGCCTACATGGTTGTCTACGATTGGTTCATAGTGGTGTTAGGTAGCTGATATGTTCAAGCTTCCTGATATTAACTCTTCCCCTCATTCCTCCATTTTAGTCCTTTCTTTTCCCTTGTGGATGGCTATAATCCATCCCTCCATGTTAGTCCTTCTTTACTAATATTTAATAAATGATTTGTGAAATTATGTATGTCGAGTTTTCATTCATTATAACAACAAATATGCATTACAATTAATTTCAGAGATTCCGGCTATTATATTTTATCTCTCATTTCTTTTTTTCAAAGACCCATGATCAAAAGAGATTTTCATACTACTTGTTGGATTTTTTCTTGGTGAAGAAAATTTAAAATTTCATTAACTTCACTTAACTCAAAAATTAATAACTTAAAAGTACGTTTAAATAAGATTACATCTAAACTATATTTTCTGAAAATAATTTATCACTATTTAAAATATAAATATAAATCAAATCTCCTATAAAATAAACTCCCACTAATTACTTGATATTTAAAAAATAAATATTGACTAAATCTAATTAGAAAATTTTGACTTCAAACTAATAAATAAAATAAATTATAAATTTTTATATTAAAAATATTTTTTTAATTATGAACTCATGAGTACACATACAAATATTTAAGATTAAATTTTAGAAATTAGTATAAACTATTAGAGTTTCATTAGGAGTTTAATAGCTACCTTATATATAATTTTATGTATTTAACGTTTGATTTAGATACACTACAAAATCTTAGAAAAGAGAAGAAATTAGAAAACAATAAAAACAGAAAGAGAAAAGATTGGAAGAAAAAGATAGGTTTTCCAACAACTATAAAAGTGTTCAAAACTAAATAGAACTTATTTAGAATAAAGAATAAAGAATATTTTGCTTGGTAGTAGATTCTTAGTTACTTTACATGTAACAACCCAGCCTCTGAGCCAGTTGTCATACCAATCAACCTATAACGCTTATTCGTTTCCTGCTTAACGTATAGATCATCAAGTCTCAAGACATCCATCTGCTCAAATTTCATTCCATATAAAACTCATATATATATATATATATATATATGCATACATCTATCCAATTTCTCATATATATCATTTGGAAACATACTATACCACATCACCAAACATAATTAATTGAAAGTGTAATTATCTCTAATTCCTGGAAGAGATATACATATATAACGACATCGATCCGATATCATCCTAAGCTCTAAGACAACAACATTACAATGCGGAACGTTCCTGCTTGCTCCTAAGTTTGGAGGCACATTTCCTGTACGTCTGAATCCTGCTCTCGTTTCACATGTTCTGTAACATACCACATGATGAGCTAAAATGCCTAGTAAGTAAAATTTGAAATTCACACTAAAGCGAATAGAAATATTTACAACTAATATTTATTTAGTCTTGAATATTTATTTGGTCTCCCAACATGCTTGGGTATTAAGTCTTCTTATTTTAAGATTTCTATGTCTTCTTAATCTTTATTGGATTTAGGAGATGTTTCCTTGAAAACTTGACTAGTTGAGATTTTTTTTTCTCCACCTTTTTTTTTTCACCCAAGGGTTTTCCTTCTATTTAGGGGATTTCCTCTTTTTTAGGAGCTTTCTCTTGTTCGAGGAATTATCTCCCTATTGGGAAATTTCCTCCTACTTGAGGGGTTTGTGTCTCCCATTTAGGAGATTTTCTTGAGTGGTAAATTTTTTTCTCCCTTTGAAGGAAATTTGAGATCTCCCTAACAATTCCCTTCCCTAAATCAGTGGAAATGGAGTTTCCTCTCAAAATTCACTTATTCACCATCTCCATTTGGCTTCTAAATGAGGCCCTAATTTCTTTTTATTCTTAAATTTCTCATACTGCCATATATGAATTCCTATATTTTTGGACTTTTGGAGTTATAGTCTTACTTTCTTTTGGGGTCGGATATTTCTCTGTGTGAAGGTTCAAAAGGCATAACCGGTCATTCAAATATTTTGTTATTTTTCTTTCTTCCTCGTCTCTAGTGAACCTAGTGAAGGTATTCTTCCAAAGATTCATCCATGTCATTTGTATTCAAGAATTTTCCTTACAGTCTCCGTTCGAATTTGGCTTGTCTCATTTTTTCTTTCTATTCTGGAGTGGAAGTTATCAATTTTATTTGTACCTCATGTTCCTTTGCCCCTATTGAATCGATTCTTTTAGTGGTAGCTTAAGTCTCCCTTGGTATCTATTGGCATTCTCTATGTTTCATCATGGTCATTGTTTATTCATCCTTTCTAACTGGCTCCAAAGTGAAGCCATGGTTCCTTAATCTTGAATTTATTAAATTCTAATATAAGTAGATCCTACCTTTAGGACTTCAGAATACCATACTCTTCAGTTTCCTTGACACTATCTCCTACATGCACATACGTTTTACTTCTTAACCTAACTTTCTGTAAAACATTTTCTAAATCTTGTACTCTTCATATAGTCCAAACCCTCATGACCCTAAGTCTCATGTAACAAGGAATGTCCTAGGAATATGTGCTCTGATACCAAATATAACAACCCTCGCCTCTGAGGCAGTTGTCATATCAATCAACCTATAAAGCTTATTCATTTCCTACTTGATGTATAAATCATCAAGTCTCATGACATCCATCTGCAAAAATTCCATTCCATATGAAACTCATGTATATACATATATATATATATATATATTTATACATATATCCAAATTCTACCATTTGGAAATATATTGTACTACATCACCAAATGTAATTAATTGAAAGTGTAAGTATAGCTAATTCCTGGAAGAGATATACATATATAACGACATCAATTCGACATCATCCTAAGCTCTAAGACAATGACATTACAATGTGGTACATTCTTGCTTGCCCCTGAGTTTGGAGGCACGTTTCCTGTACGTTCGGATCATGCTTTTGTTTTACCTATTCTGTAATATACCATGTAATGAGCTACAATGCCCAGTAAGTAAAATATGAAATTCACAGCAAAGTGAATAGAAATATTTACAACTAAATTTTCGGTACTGGGTGTTATCCAACCTACCATTTTCCCCTTCCCTCTCTCTCTGCCTATTGTCTACACTTAACTTTACTACATTCTATCACAAACTCCCAAGCTGCAGTAATTTCACCATTTCTTTAAGGAACCTCTACCCAGTACCCTTCTCAGACTCCCCTATGTTTCTACTAAATTTTCCCCAATTCCACTCTATTTTATCCAATTTTTTTCAGTGTTTCCCCTACTATTCATGCCCCTTTTACTTACACCAAACCGTCCCCTAAATCTGTACTCTATAACTGTTCTCTGCCCAGCTTGTTTTCATCCTCACACTGTCATTTTCTACCCATTTCCACTTGCTGACTCTCACCCCTTCCTGCCTTATCCTTTCACTATAACTCCCCCTCAAATATTTTCCTGATTTGACCTTCTGTCAAGGTTGTCCCCCCTTGAGTAAACCTCCAAACACAACAATCTTTTAATCCCCACACACTCGTACCATAGATTTAATAGTTAGTTGTAAGATTTAAATACCTGTAAATTTCCCAGGGCATCAACCCCTCGATCCAATAATCGGGCCACCACAGATACATATATCTATGTAAATTTCCATCGACATATTCAATGCCATACACTTACTCGGGACATCGACCCCTCAACCCAGCAATTGAGCCAAGTAACAAATATACATAATATATATATATAATTTCCATCGATATATTAACTGCCATACACATACTTAGGATATCAACCCCACGACCCAACAACTGGGCCAAGTAATAAATATATATATGTATATATAAATTTTTCATCGACATATTAAATGCAATACACATACTCGATGCATCAACCCCTCAACCCAGCCACTCGGCCAATTAATACAAAATTCACTCCTTCACCGGAACACAGTAAGCACTTAAAAACAAATGTTTATCAATATATAAAAGAATGTATAATAGGAATCATTAGGCATCGACACCCCCTCCAACAACATATACATGTTCCAATTTCCCTCGTATTCCCTAACTCCTCTTTTTCTTTTTTTTTTCAGTTCCTTTCCTACCCATTCATTTTCTGTGTTACCACCCTCTCCTTTGGTCGACTAAACTAATTGGTTCTCCATTCACCCAGTCTTCTATTTATTTCAGGTTCCCACTCCCTATCACTCAAAATTTCACCTATTTCACCAAGTAAATCCCAGACCTAAATCCCTCTAAATTTCTCTATTTCCCTTTTTTGTCTCTTCTGATTTATCCCCTTTAGATTCATTGATCCCCTCACTTAAACTTTCCTCAATCTTCTTAATGTCTCTTTAATAATTCCAACACAAAAGAATTCAGTATGTAAATTCTATCTCGAGATGTGAAATGCAAATTGGACTTACCTCTCGGATCTGTGTAATGATGATTCAACGTAGTGTCTCTCCTTCCTCTCCCTACGCCCTCGCGTTAGTGATGGTGCTTTGGTCAATCTACTTGTTGTTCACCCTCCCCCAGCTTTCTTTGATCTCACTGTTCCCACCAGTATATTTTTACTATTCTCTCTCTTTCTCTCTCTAGATTGCCACTCTCCTCTCTTTGTACTAAACTCCTCCCCCTTGTTGGGTTACAGGTGGGAAGAAGAAAATGGAGGTCGTTCGTGGAAGGCTTGGGGCTGGCCTTATGGGCTTAGGTCTTTTGGATTGGGTCGAAGGAAATATTGGACTAGCTGGGTATCACATTACGGTTTCTCCAGCCAATGTTTGCCAATGAGCCTTTGTAACTATAATGTATATATGTATCATAAGTTTTTAATAGATATTAAGATTGTATGATTTAGATAAAATTATAAGTTTTTAGAAATTTAGAGTTGCAAAAAAATGTAAATCGTACGACAATAAGGTTTCAATTTTTTTTTTAATTTTTTTTTTAATCAACTTTCAGCCAACAAACTATATAGTTATATCTAATATTATAAACTTTGCATTAACACAAAGATCATATGTAATATCCAAGACTTAGAAAAGGTTTAAATTCGTAGTGTAATAAAGGATGAACTTTAATTTTTGCATTTTGTAATTTTAAAAATGTGTGAATGTGTTAAATTAAAATTGAAATTCATAAAAAATGTGAAA